GTCGGAGTAGCATATCATGTCAAGCATTACAAATAAGTAGGTGTACGGTGACAGCTCTAGAGAGTTATCATGCTTTACCACCACAAAGACTATCTGGATGTGGCCATCGATTGATAAGTTTTGAAAAAATGCTCTTTCATCCTAACCGTTGCCTCTCTCTGCCTCCCTCGCTTTGCCGCACTCCTACTTCCATGCCCCTCGCACCCACCATCGCTGCTCGTATTACTTCTGCTCACCGCTGCCAACGGGTCTATACTCCTATGTCGACGCTCGCATCCCGTCAGTCACCCAAAACAGCTCTGGATGGCTACATTCTGCACCTTCCCGGCTCGCACACCAGTCTTTCTGACACTGTCCAAACTCTTTTATTCACAATAACGTTTCTGTCCTTTCCCCTAATAGTATCAAAATGTCGTACCCCATGTATTATCTGTTGACTTTTGAGAATTCAGTAAGTCATACAGGGATATTAGTAAGCGGGTTACTAGGTATATATAGATGAGAATTGTCCTCATCCGTTTACTAGTTAACCGTCACCTACTCAGACAAACGGAAAGTTATACGGTCTAGGAACAGCACGAAAACTTGAAAATTATCATCTCTGTTTGGGCTCTGCGCTGGAGCCTGGAAATATGGGGAGTTTTGACCACTGCTGGGTAACCAGCCAGTGGGATCCCATAGCAAGAGTTCAATCCATGACAACAGTTAACCAACATGGATGGCGGGTTTGGAGCTATATCTCCTGCCCCTCGAGGGTCCAGGGCATTTCAGCGGAACTTATGTGCACTCTTTGTTATCCAAACCTCCATTTTGCACGGGCACTATAGGATAGTCACTAAGTATGTAATCTAACGGTGCATCATAAGCGCATAAGCGTTTCCAGCACTTAAATTGAATACATCTCTCTCTCTCGGGAGAAGAAAATAAAAATCTTCTCTCCTGTACTATTAACAACTGCTTAAATACATTTAACAGAAGGATACTTTGAGGAACATGAAGAGCGCTCTCAAGGGGTAAAAACAATTCAAATTGTACATGTACCACACAGCAAAGCCGCTTGTGTCCTCGACGTCCTGCAACATAAACATCGCCACATTACAACAAGTAGTAGTCAATAGCCATGGGTGTTGGTGGTGGAGAGGTACAGAGCGCTGCTGAGACAAATCGGGTTACACCTAATCCCTTCTTAGCATCTTAGGCGCTCCTATCATGATGGCGTACCTCAATCCTTCTGAATGACTCATTTGATTCAGATTTACACATACCAATAGTTGAGAGGGGGACAAAAATTTCAATGACTGTTCCTCAGGTTAATGCAATGGCTTAAGTCTCCCAGGAAGACAAAAAGGTGAGGACACAGTACAGACATCTTAGAAATAAGTAAATCTCTCACATGATGTTGTGCATTTCAATCAAATACCTTAAGAGCTTAAATAGAATCTTCATCTACAGCCAAGGTCTCTCCCTGCTCCTAGGTGTTGAATCACAGCGTTCCGAAATAAAAACTGGTGACATCAATTAGGAGCTGATATCGTTGGCGGTGACAATATAGTAATCATGTGCCATGAGGACGTTGCCTGGTTGGCTTGCTTCTTGTCTCTATCGTTGTGTGCAAGTCGGGTGTTCCACCTGCCTATGCTTCCGGTGAAGAATTTAAGCCACAAAGATGAAATTCCCCATAAATTAGATATCTATTACTCGTTTACAATGCAAAATTGAGTCAAATTTCCCACAATAAACTCTGGCCCGATTACAAAGATTCCCAAGGACGCTGGTCTCCTAAGAAAAGAGTAGGGTTGTCTATTGTGGGGAGGTGTAAGGTACAGTTTTGGCTTCTTTGCCGCATTCATAAAACAGGGCTATGTATCTGGAATTCTGGGTAGAGTTCTATGTCACTCACCGGATCTCTGTTGTGTCTGGCGGCAATGACGGGTGACGATGCCAAGTCGCTGGCGCTGGTGCCTTCATGCATTTCAAAATTCCTAGCGAGAGTTGTATTTGTCGGAAACCACTAAGCCAACGTTGGCTTAGTGGTTGGCTTAGTGGTTTCCAACAGTATTTCCTCTAGCACTTTGGCTAATGTAGATTCTTTTTGCGGCTGGTGTGGCATGATCTATCTCCCCCATAAAGCTCAGAGTCACCTCATTTGTACACCTGACCTCAGTATTTTTTTGTTAGATCACGAAATGGGGTGCACGCACACTATGAATGATATAATGTTCATACCCATCGACGCACGTGCGTGCAGTAGTATTTAATTTACACACATAAGATCTAGCTCTCGTGTGCTTATAATCTTCGTCCATGCGTGCAGTTTGAATTCATGGATACATCATTTTATCGTTTATTATTGTTGCATTACATTTATCGATTAGTGACTCCCCACTGGATCATCTACGTAACTTGGTGTTTCAGGAGGCTCTCGTCAGTTAACTCCTTATGTCTCGACAAGTGGCCCAAATATAATTCTTCCTTATTATCCCGATCCAGAGACAATTTCCTACCCACAATTACTCTCCAATGCCAAGGATTCTTTTTTGTAGTCTTTCTTCTGAACTCTCTTACTTGGATTGCCATATACCATGGTTTGCACAGGAACAATATATACGTATCATACACTATTAGAACCACATCCATTTCTAACCAAGAAACTAGTTATATCCCTTCAGATGGCCTAAGGGAGATATATGAAGGGGTAATGTCAACGTCATATGTCTATTTTACAGCCTCAAGATGCTGTGCAAACTGAGTTTTACATACTGCTTCCTCCTAGTTCATTGTTGCCATCATTGTTATGGACCAGGCAATGCGCTACGGAACGACATTTGTGTATCTCTGCTTAGTGCTGTGAACGGGGATCAATGTGCATAAAATGGTCGGCATGAAACTGCGTATAGTTCCCAACTTTGATAGGTGAGAATTATCGCTTACCGAGGATTATAAACGATAAAGACCAGCAAAGATGCCACAGCATCCACCATGTTGCCCCCTATCAGTTTCAACAATCTCAACTGTCACAAAGGTCTCCCGGCACATACCCTGTCCAGAGGGGATCCAGAGGCACTTTAACAGATATCACAAGATTTGGCTTCGGCTGTGAATGCGACTTATGGGAATTTGTCAACATGATTTTAGCATATAAGTATCAGCTTTGAATGAGGAGTGCACAGCAGTCACCCAGTCACTCCCTATGGAACCTACCCAGAGCTTGCCTTTCTCACCATATCGATGCTCAAGTAACGCATCACCCATCAAGGTGCGTTACATTCCAAATTAACCGGTTTCTCATAATTTACCACTGATCACTCTCAGATATTCTGTAGTCTGACCACCCCATATAACCACCTCCTCCGAAATTATTATTTCGTCTCCTCCGTCTCCATATATAAACAAGAAAAGTCGAAAGGGCAGCATGAGTTTGTTGTTGCGGTGATCTTTGGTCCACATCAGTCCCGGTCTTTCCTAGTAGTGGAGCGGACGCCCCAAGAATCATCTTCCATCGATACTTTTCGGACTCTTTCTTCGAACAACTCTGTCCCAGCGATAGACACTATTGTCTGTCTCGATGAAGTCACCTTCGTTAAATTCGTTCGAACCAGGTCCGCTAACGCATTATATTGCCTCGTCTTCGACCCTCCCCCGGGGCATGGTACATTCCCAGCTGTCGACTTCTGTCACATCGTCGCCAGTATATCAGCATACCAGGAGTCATACACTCTTCTCGGAAGCTCTTGCTATTGGTTTGCCGGAATGGTCATGAAGGTGGTCGAGACGTGTTTCACTGTGAAGCAGACCCGCGGTAATGGAGACGCTGCAGGGCGGTGCAAAGGCCTAAAGATTTTCCGTCCTGAACCGAACGCGATACGTGACATCATGGCCAGCTACAATACCAAGAGGAGCGAAGAAGGCCGTTCTCTTCTTTCTATCATCAGAGAGGTTTTAATGATTACAGAGCAATGAATGGTCAGCGAGCTCATACCCAATATCTCTCCAGGAGGGTGGTTTCCGGAGACCTACAGGCATTCATATGACTATTTATCGACCCCCTGGGAGCTTTAGAATTGGAAACCGGCCTGATCCTTCTTAATGGTGTATCCGTCTAGTAACTGACTGTGTGTTTGATTGTATGGACGTTTTTTCTTATCCTTCAATAAAAACTTTAGCATCACATTGGCATATATAAATAATGTATCCTCGTACACATAGAATAGTATATCCATGTTCCGTATAGAATAGAAGTACATATAGAATAGTATATCCGTGTACATATAAAACAATATATCATATTTTTTTTTGAAGTCCATAGCTGTATCAAGTTGCCAAGCACTTAGATAAAAAAAATAGAGTATGCAGTCGTGGATAAATACATATTACCACTCAGAATATTTCGAGATCGAGATCTCCCAGGTTCTGGAAAAGCGCATTACAAGATAGATTTCTTAAAAAATAAAAGTAAAGGGAGAGCGTGGATACAATAATACTTATACCTAAGTATACCTGACACGGAAACACCAAAACGAAATCTGAATATTTCCCAACTATTTTTAGGGCATTTGGCAGACTGCAATAACATTCACCATGAGTTCACCTTTTTCCGAAGCAAACAACTGTAAACGAACTGTTGTCTTATCACATCCCTGATTCAACGCATAAGATCTGCACTCATAAAGTGTATTTACTGACGTTCCTATCTTCCTGATGATTTTTTCTCAATTAGTATATGCACAAATATATCAAATACACGATTTTATTATACAAGAAAGAGCGAAAAGCATCAAGAAAAAAATAAAAAGTTTAACCCCCAAAGTTAGTCTACATCCCTTTCAATGTTGATTGTGGTGTCGTATAATAGTGAAACAAATACTTTGCCTGCCTAACTATTATTTGAAACAAACGCACCATCTCCAAATCCCAGTAAGAGATATCTAAGAAAAGCTAATATTGAAGGACTGATACATGTGATTAATGAAGTAGTGCATGTTAAAAGTGTAGAAAGTGAATGGCCAGACTGGGAATTGAACCCAGTGCTTCTGCATATATAGCAAGCGTGTTACCAACTACACGACCTGGCCCTGGGAAGCATTACACAATCTAACAGTGCAACAGGAGGACATATGAAATATTTGACTGCGTTCACACTAAAAATACCACATGAAAACGTATCAGTTTAATGACTAATGAATTTCATGACGAGTGTCTGTCCAGGTCTTGAGTATGAGGCTGACGACCATTCATTAAATCGCAGCTTTAAAATTAGCATCAATCAGGTGGCATAGCATTTCCATAAAACAACGTCCAGGAATTTGGGTCAATGGCCCTTGGACAATGACTAAACAAGTACAAATACTAACTACTTCAGTATGTGGGAGATAGCAGACTGGAGTGTAACTAACTACGGCTCTGGCCTACTATTTTTGTACGCCACATGTCGTTCGAAAAATCAAGTTGGTTCAATGGACCATTTCCTCCATGTGAGGGAGTATAAACCGCCTGCACATGAACCGCTATAGTATGACTTGTTAATGCGGGTTCGGTACAGCGACGAAAACCCCTAATGGAAACATATATCAACCCACATAACCACGAGGCAAACAATGCAATGAACCCAATGAGGAATGGACGCGAGCGCAGTCGAATGAATACAACAGACGTCGCGGCATTTGGTATACTGGATAGTGTACCAATCCCCGCCGTCATGTGTGCAACACCGAGCCATATTCGGTCTGCGAAAATGTCAAGACTCGGCTGGGTAAATGCCAGGCTGTTGCCATTGCCGAGGGTGCCATTATATCCTAGTTGCTTTATCAGACTTGAACGGCTCTCAAAGGTGTCATTCACAACGCTCGTATTGGCTATGCCTGCAAGTACAGCGGAAAGAGGGTCGGCAATACCGGCTCCCTGTACCGGATTATAGGGGAGATCCTTGCCAAATGAACTGTACGTCATATCCGGTCCAAATAAGTCTGCACTGCCGAGCGAGAAATTCGACTGACACTTGACTATACCGGTGGTGTTTGCAGTTCCGTTGTTGGATTGAATGAAGATATAAGCTGTGGCGTTAGAGTCGGCACCGGAGGGAACTGTGAGGGCGGATGGGAATGTGCAATAACTAAACGTGACGTTTGCAGTCCCAAAAGAGACATGCATATTCACCCTTCGGTCCTGTTGGGAAGGAAGAGAGTTGTCGCAGAACGTTGGGAAGAGAGTGGTATTTTGCTCAACAGCCGTTGAAGCGTCGTCGGAGAACGACGCGCAACCCCCGTGAAGTCGCAACCCTGGCAGACGACGATCGTCCTCTCCGATATCATCGGAAAAAAAGAAGTCACTGAGATTTCCTTGTGACAAAACGTCCAGAGTGTATGCATTGAACTCGTAGGTATCAAATACTGATCGACCGGTGACCCATGAACCAAGCCCTGTGCTTATCTGTGTGTCCCGGTCCACATCAAGAATCCTCTGTGTAGAAAATGTTGGCGAGGTGCTTGGGAAGGACACCGATCTTAGAGGATAAGCACGCGAAAAGATTGATGGCATGAAAAATGCAACCGTGGACGTGAATGCAAACGCGAAGAACATTGAAGAGACCCCCGTTTTGATAATGGTTTTCAAAGGAGGTACGAGTCGTAAGGGACTAGTCCATGTCTGGTCAGTCAGCCAGAAGAGCTCACCCCAGGTACACTGAGCTGCTCTCTTCTCCTTAAACGCGGAAGCACAGACTCGTACGAGGTATAAAGTAGTAACCATCCCGTGAAATTGGGAGAACCAAGTGTGAAATAGGTTCGCTACAGTGTCGATTCCCGAGTCCTGGGTTCGGACTGCCAGCTCGAATAAAACAATGTTTATTGCAATGTAGACGACCCATCCCCATATGACTATAAGACTTAAAGGGTGCCAACCCCATCTCGATTTCCGCTGAGGTTGTGCGCCGCCCGCTATCGGGGTAGGAAGCGGGGTAGTAAATGGGTCGCCCACTAAAACCCAAGTATGCACAGTCAGCAGATACATCGGAGATAATGTAAAGTAAATAGTTCAGACCTACGCCGGATTGTGCGGTTTGTTCACTGCCCCGGCGGAGGGGCTGCAACGGTATAGGGTGAGAGCTCATGGCGATGACAAGAGAATAACTGAAGAGCCTTGCCACTATATAGGAAAGGAAACATTGGCTATATGCACCCACGCGAAAAACACATGATCAGTATATGGCCAAGCCTATTCAGCGGCCTTCGTCCCTTATCAGGTTCATCAGGCTTTTTGGATTTTTGTGACATTCTTGTAGAGCTATCGAGAAAAGTGCGTATCACGAAAGTGTGGGACCAATGAGTTCAACTTAAAGCCAGAAGCTCTCGGCTACTCGAGATGCTCCACACTTCTCTTCCCGGTGCCAAAAGGTTACTGGTGTTTGACTGAGAGTTCGGTCGGCTCCGCCTTGGGTGCCGAATGAAACTTAATCTCTTCGAGAGGTGGCGCGCACAGCCTAGACACCGTCGGGCGAAATTGGTCGGGGAAATTCTTCTGAGCTTCGCTAATAGGGGTCAACAAAGAACGCACCGGGATTCGAGCCGGGCGGGGTCTGACTTTTGCGTCAGCGACTCAAACCCCGCGCATTGACCACAAGATCTATTACTTGACTAACGAGGAGCCTACGATGTACGCTCAATTTGGGCTATATGATGATTTCAAAGGACAGATCGAAAAACCACTCAATCGAAAATACGTATATACATATAAGCATTTCGACTTTTGAGCATAACTAAGCTTCTAAGCATGTTCATAATCTGAACTCCTCTGACGCACAACTCAGCTTCTTATCACATTAACACAGGATCCGCGTTCCTCGGTATGCGGATTTCGAAACTTCTTCGGTGTACAGCCAGTTTCGGTGTCTTCAAGCGCTGCGAGGAGCTTGGCTTTTTCTCGGGGGTTGGACGTACGCGGCGTAGCGGTCGTCGAGTGGCCCGTACATGGCGTACACGTACTCATCGAGGGCCTAGTCAACTTATTCAAGTTAATGCTACATATTGAGTCTTAGCTATGGAAGACGACGCACCTATGTCTCCATGACAAGCCTATCAGAAGCATGCATTTTGCCTTCTTTCTCCGTGACTAGTTCCAGCATAGACGTATCGAGCGAATCTGTCCCCGTCACAAACGCCACGTCCTTCTGAATAATATTATCCTTCTTCTTCGGCGCAGCCTCAGCATCGCCATCGGGGGCACCATCCACCTCCATCGGGCCTTGCTCCCCCTTCTCCACAATTTCCTCCTCGACATACACATTCCCAAAACTCAACAAGCCATTCGGGTTCAAACGTGTCTTGGCTTTGACAACCATAGTCTCGTCGGCCTGACTCTCCGGAACGGACTTGACGTGGAGATTGGCGACCAGGTGTTTATCGCGCCCGGGAGTGCCGCATGATGGGTATATGACGCCTGCACGTCAAACGGCCCGTCACCTCCGAAACTGAGAATCCTCGTGGAAGGTATGGGCTTGTCACGGGGATACACCTGCAGAGAAGCAATGTCGCGAAATGGGAAGTCATGACGAACACGGAAGACGGGGGAAAGCATGGCGCATGAGAATGTCGCGCCTCGGGCGAGGGCTTCGTCTTGGTTTGAAGTCGTCGAGAGTGTTTTGTTGGGGAAGACGGATTGGATGCGTTGGCGGGTGGCGGGGACACGGGTTGATCCACCAACTAGCTTGATCGCATCGGCTTGGTCTGGGTAGGACCGGCATCCTGGAGTGCCTGCTGAAGGGGACCGACAATACGGTTTAATAGGCTAGAAATTAATTGTTCCATCTGCTCTTTGGTAAGTTTAGATGAAGCGTTGACATCATTCATGAAGCACTCGACAGAGAGGTTTCCCTCGGTATTAACTGACAAGATTTTCTTGAGACGTTCTACCTGTGTTGCAAGGCGGAACGTCGCTTTAGGAGTGCCCAACGCGTTGATATTATACTTTGACTTGAACTCGTGAGCGAAGTGCTGGACCAGTGCATAGTCGATATCACGGCTACCAAGATCACGGTCGTAGGCTGGGCTCTTCACGAGGAGCTGACCGCTGGAGAGTGCAACCGCCACGACACAATAGCTCGAGTGACCGATGTCAGCGAAGACGACATGTCGCGGTGGCTGTTCGAGTACAGGAAGATCAAATTTGGTAATACAATATTCGAGCGCGACAGCGGTGCTGTCGTTGAGAACGCGGAGGGGAGTTAAACCAGTTATATGAGCGGCATCGATGACAGCGCGTCGTTGGACGTGGGTGTACCAACAGGGCACGGCGATGACGACGTCCGAGACGCGTTGCTTCAATTCATGTGAGGCGATGTCCTTGAGCTTGCCGAGGTAGTTGACCTGAGCAATGGATAAGTCTTCCGATGTGAACAAAAAAAACGACAACGACAACGCACCTTCACATCAACCGTCCCTTTCGCACCGACCAACACCCCATTAATGAACTTCTTCTCAATGATCTGACGAAGTCCGTCTGATGAGACGTTTGACCGAGCCCACAGTTATTTTGAAGTTGGAGGTTTCCTAGGAAGAGATTTATTTGAGGTGAGTATCTCAAGAAGCGGATTTATGAACTAACAATATGGGCCTACAGGGAACCTTGGCGAGATCTTTCTCAATGAAATGGCTATACAGAAGACTACTAGAGGTATGACAACGAATGCCTTTGAAGTGGACCAAACGTCATCACTAAATCCATAAATTGTGGACATTATTAGTACCCATATTCCGGCTGGAATTAATAAGACTAGTGCCATAGTTGTGTCAGAATTGCGTCCGAAAGACCAAAGCTACCCGAAGTTAAATTTGTATTCCTTAAACTATCCCACACACTGCGCAACTCACGGACGGCCAATATTGCTTTAAAACACGTTAATTATGATAAATCGAGCATGCGATATTAGTGACGGCGTCATACCCAATGGCACTACAGATGCATTAGTACCAACAGCAGTGGTATGTACGGAGCAGCCATACTCACTGAACAATATGTGAAATAGACCACGGTTCTGCACAAAAGTGATATCAACCGGTAACACTCTACTGTGAGAAAAATA